GTCAGGGATCGGAGAAGTACAAGTTCCCCAACCCCAACCCCTTCGTGGAGGAGGACATGGACAAGAGCGAGGTGGCTTCTGTAGCGTACAGGTGAGTCCGCTTCCACGGGCAGAGCGGCCAGGCTCACAGCTGCTGGGCTCCAGTGGGCTGCAGGGTGATGGAGCTGCTGGCTAAGAGCTGCTTTCCCTTTTGCCTCATTTCTACCGGGCAAGAGCCAGTTTCCACCACAAACGCCCACACACGCAAAAAAACACCGGACGTCTCTTTAAAACAGAACCAGCTGCACTTATACAGGAAGCAGGCCTCTGTAAGCCATCATGCACCAGCTTAGCCAGCCGCCCTGGGAGTTTCTCCACCTCCAGGCTGTGGAAAGGGAGAAAAGCCCAGCAGATCCATCCCGTCTACTTTCTAGGTGCTTCTTGCAAGTCAGAGTTGCACGGCAAACCGGAGCCTATCCCAGCATGCAGCGGGCACAAGGCAGGGTACACCCTGGACCGGAGGCCAGTCCATCACAGGGCACACACACACTCAAAACCAGTTAAGCTGCCAGCATGTCTTTGGACTGGGGGGGGAAACCCACACCAACGTGGGTAAAACGTGCAAGCTCCACACAGACAGCACCCCAGGTCCAGGATTGAACCCAGGGCCCCATGCTGCCCACACCCCATAGATGTCGCTGCGGTTGGACGCGTACTTAACTGGTGAGCATCTCTGGTTGATCCCCCGCAGGTACCGCCGGTGGAAGCTGGGCGACGACATCGACCTGATGGTCCGCTGCGAGCACGACGGGGTGATGACGGGGGCCAACGGGGAGGTGTCCTTCATCAACGTGAAGACCCTGAACGAGTGGGACTCCCGGGTGAGCGCGTGTCCCCTCCTGCCCGCTCGGCTGCCGTCGGGGGCTTTATCCCGGGCTCGTGCCCGGGGCCCCCTCCGCAGGGGGAGTGTGCGTGACCGTGTTCCCACTCCGGGCGCGTGTGGCCCTCCTCTGAGAGCGTCTCCCCCTTTCTCCCCCCTCCCCCGCAGCACTGCAACGGTGTGGACTGGCGTCAGAAGCTGGACTCCCAGAGGGGCGCGGTTCTGGCCACCGAGCTGAAGAACAACAGCTACAAGCTGGCCCGCTGGACCTGCTGCGCCATGCTGGCGGGGTCCGAGTACCTCAAACTGGGGTGAGTCCTACTTTGTCGGGATTGACCGGACCGTACAAGCTTCCTATTCCCACATTCCTGCTTCACCTCCTCTGTTCTTTCCGTCAATGACTGACGAGCGCAGGGGTCTCCCGCCCTGGTACCGGAGAGCCCCAATTCAGGTAGTCTTATAGGTCACCCCAGCATAGGGGTCACCCGCCCGGGTCCCGGAGAGCCCCAGTCCAGGTAGTCTTCTAGGTCACCCTAAATCAGGGCCCCAGTGAGCCCCAATCCAGGTAGTCTTCTAGGTCACCCAAACACAAGAGTCTCGTCCTGGTCCTGGGGAGGGGTCATCCTAAACCACCTGATATATAAAGACCTATGAACAGTTCTTTAAGCAATTGACCAGTTTAGCAAGTGGTGCTTCAGGGAAGGGAATTCTGATTGATTCTTGTTCCAAGTGATGTATAAAGTAACGTGACTGGGCACGCCGGCCTGTGTAACTGAGCACCATTAAGTGGCTCCAGGTCTTGATAGCCTGATGTGAATGCTGCCTGTGAAACCTGTGGGACTGGGGCTGGCTCTCCAGGGTCCGGGTTGGAGACCCC